TGTGTGTGTGTGTGTGCATATAACTACATGTATACAACAATGAATTTTTTTTAAAAAGCACAATGAGAGTCAGTTGAAAATGTAAAACTAAGGTAGAAGAAAGTAAAACAACATTATTGCACATTGTTTAAATATTGCACATTTTGTAAATTGAGGTATATGGATCATGCTGGTGTTGCAGGTCATCATTAACAAAATAAAGTGACGTGTCACACAGTGTGCATGTATTTCACAGCAGTAAGTTTCTAGCTGATTGTAAATCAAGAGTCAGTGATGTGAGAGTTCAGTGTGGTGATGGCTTTAGGGCTCGTTCTGGTTCACCTGTAGCTCCATTAATTCTAAAGCGAACAGTAGCAAGTCATAGCTAAAAGCTAAGTGTTGCAAAAAATCAAACATTGTCAGAATGCTAGCTATAATTCAAAACAACTAAAACCACAGCTAAATGCTCAAACTAGACAACTTTAGCTAATAAATAAAAGTAGCAAAAAATAGGCAAAAGCTAAGTTTTGAAATCTTAACTCAAAGTAGCTAAACTGTAAATTAATTTTAAATACAAAAATAGTAACTAAAAACGAACAGTAGCAATTTAATAGCCAAAAGCTAAAAGTTTAAAAACTAAAGCTAAAAGTGGAAAAACTATATAAAAGCAAAAATAGAACAAAATGTTGCTGTAATTCAAAACTACCAAAACAACTAATTATTAAATTAGTAAATTTTAGCTAAGAGCTAWCAGTAGCAAAAATACTAGTCAGAAGCAAAAGGTTTTGTAACAGCTAAAAGAAGCTGAACTGTAGAGAGAAGCACAAGTGTGGAAACGACCAAAACTAGAATAAAGCTAAATACAAAAATAGTAGCTAAAAGCTAACGATAGCCAAAGTTATAACCAAAAACTATAAACTGAGCTAGTAGCTAAAGCTGATTTTAAAAAGAAAATATCAGTATATATATTTTTAATATTGTTTTTCTGAGAGATTCTATTTTAAATAAAGTTTAAAATCCTATAAATATTTAAACCAATGAAAGTTCTGTTTTCCATGGAGCCGAATGTTTGTGTTTAAACAGTAAAAGGTTTCAGGTTCAGATGAAGGATTTGAGCTCAGAGTTTAATTTAATCTTGATTTAAACTCAGTTTAATTTAATCTTGATTTAAACTCAGTTTAATTTAATCTTGATTTAAACTCAGTTTAATTTAATCTTGATTTAAACTCAGTTTAACTTGTTGATGATCTCATTTTTTAGGTTAATTTTTTAAAAAACTTTTCATCTTTTTTGTAAACATTTTATTTCTTCAGTTTCTCCATCCAGTCGGTTAGATTTGAACTGGTCCAGTCTGTAACTGCAGGCCTGTGTTTCATCCTGATTGTAGCGTCTGGGTCTAAAACCAGAACCGGACCCTGAACAGGTGTTTTCTGACCGGGTCAGGGCGCTGCTCCTCATGCGGGTCTCCTCCTGGTCCCTCTGCTGGCTGTGCTGCTCGATCCTCTGCTCCCAGAAGGACTTTAGCTTCTGCTGGTCGGGGATCCGAGCCGAGCTCATGGTCTGACTGGAGACTGGTTCTGACTGGAGACTGGTTCTGACTGGAGACTGGTTCTGACTGGAGGCTGGTTCTGACTGGAGGCTGGTTCTGACTGGAGGCTGGTTCTGACTGGAGGCTGGTTCTGACTGGAGACTGGTTCTGACTGGAGACTGGTTCTGACTGGAGACTGGTTCTGACTGGAGACTGGTTCTGCAGGAAACCCACAAAGGGTAGTTTTTGTCTTTTCAGGGTTTTCTCCTCTTGTCCTTCATCCTCACTTTCTGTCCTCCTCCTCCGACAACTCCTCCTCTCACCTCATTAACTCTTCTCTTCACCTTTGACTCCGCCTCCTCTTTCCTCCTCTCTCCTTTAACTCCTCCTCTCTCCTTTAACTCCGCCTCCTTTAACTCCTCCTCTTCACATCTTTTTTCCTGACAGTTGAACTCATCACTTGATCTTTTTTCTGACGTTATTTAGTAATTTTTCAGTCCTCTACAGTAAACCCTGTGACCCCAGGTGGCCCTCCAACCTTCATTTCACAATTTGTGTTGGGATGACTCTCAGCTACCACCACCCCAGAGTCTCTGTTAAACTGACAGGTAAAGTTATTTTGTGTTGATTAGCTGTGGCGGCCATCTTGAATCAGCGTCTCTTCAGAAACTTTGTGAGCTCTGCTTTAGCTACTGTCTTGTTTTTATCTTTGTTACTTTATTTAATWATTAATATACAAATGTGTTTTTGTAGCTACAAATTTAATTTAAACTTTTTGCAATGTTAAACAATTTAGCTTTTAGCTATGCTTTGTCTTAATACAATTTATAGCTATATCTAACTTTTAGCTATGGTTTTCAAAGTTTCACCTTTTAGCTTCTGTTTTGTTATTTTAGCTTTCTGCTATAGTTTTGCTCATATTAGCTTTTTCTATGGTTTTGCACATTTGAGCTGTTTAGCTACGGTTTTAATTTCAGCTTTTCTTGATACTTTTACTCAATTTTAGCTTTTTTAGTTACAGTTTAGCTTAGTTTAGCTTTTAGCTGAAGCCTTGCTGATCTTAGTTTCTGCACTAATTTTAGGTCTTTGTGGGTTTTTGTTTTTTGTTGTTTTGTTTGCAGAAAGTCAGTTCTAGTTTTATGTTAGGATTGTTTTTTTCTATAAAATCAAAAGCTTAATTTTTTTATTTTTATCTCGTCCACCTGCTTGGTCTGACTGAGCAGGAAGTGTTATTATTTATTAAAGCACAGATGAAGTTTTATTGGTTTTATCTCGGATTAAAACGAACGTTCTGATTAGTTTGTCTTTCAGAGCAGCATTAGCAGTGTTAGCAGTGTTAGCATTCGGCTCATAAAGACTCTGCTGTCACCTGGATTAACTAACCGGCACCAGGATCCAAACCACAGCTTAAAGTCTTTACACCAGCACAGCTGTCTTTGTGTGTCCCTCTGTGTGTGTCTGTATGATGATGGACCTGGTTGGGACCACCGGTCCTCCTGGGACCCTGAGGTCTGATGTAAGCGTAGTTTTCGGGTTCAACAGGATGTCACCAGACTTTCCGTCCAGAACTCATGGTCCGTCCCCGGGGTCTCCTCCCAGTTGGACGTGTRCAAAACACTTCCTGTCCAGGTCCATCCAGACCAGGAGGACCAGGTCTAGTCTGAGTCTCTTCTGGAGAATTAAAGTCATAATTTTGCAACAATAAAGTCTTAATATTACGACTTTATTCTTTATTAAAGGGATCCAGGATTAGTTGTAACATTAGACTTTATTTGACAAACATTTATTTTAACTGTAAAATAAATACTGTAAAAATACTGTAGGATGTTTAGTTCTGTAAATTTTTAAAAATATATTTCAACACGGACGGAGCCATTTTATTTCCACACAAAGCATTCTGGGTAAATGATGACGTGGATAGGTCC